GAGCCAAATTGTGGAGGGATTTAAATACTAGGCTGAGGAGGTTTTAATTTATCCTAGAAAACATAAAGAGCCATTGTGGTGATTTTTTTTTTGAGCAAAGGAATGGTATGGTCAGATCAGAACATCGGGAAAATTATTTGGGCAGCTCTGTGGAGACAGGATTAAAGAAGGGGAAGACTAGAAGGGAGCTGTTGAAATAGTCTCAGAGCAATAGCAATGTAAGGAGAAAAGAACTGATGTGAGAAATACTGTCAGAGTAGAATTGACAAGACTTGTCAACAAATTGGTTTGGAAGAATGATGGGAAAAAGTCAAGGATGATTCCAAGATTGCAAACCTAGGTGACTGGATGTAGGGTGGTATTCTGCACAGAAAGAGGTTGGAGGGAAGGAGGGTTAGGAAGAAAGATAATAGCTTCTGTTTAGGACTTGATGAGTTTAAGACACTGATAGAGGCAAGGGGTGGATGATAACACATTTATTAAGCATTAACTGTTTGCTAGGCAGAGTGCTAAGTGCTAGAGATACAAATCTAGGAAAGCAAGATACTCCCTGCTATCAGGAAGCTTATATTCTAATAGGAGACAACATCACATAAAGAAGGAATGGGAGGAGGAGATGTATGAATAGATTACTGATTTAGATAAAAGATGACTAAAAGGTGTCTCACTAATTTAAAGGCAAAAGTTTTTATTTTCTCATTGTCTTATTTCTGATCCAATGGGTATTTCAACAATACTGGTTGCTCTACAACATTCTTTTTTAAAATATTTATTTATTTAGTTTTAATTTTAAACATTCACTTTTATGAGATTTTGAGTTTTAAATTTTCTTCCCCTCCTTTTTCCCCTCCCCAAGATGGTGTACAATCTAATATAAGCCGTACATGTACAATCATATTAAACATATTTCCACATTAGTCATATTGTATAGAAGCATTAGCACCAAAGGGGAAAATCACAAGAAAGAAAGAAAAAAAAAAAGGAAAAACAATATGCTTCGCTCTGCATTCAGATACCATAGTTCTTTCTCTGGATGTTGATAACATTTTCCAATATAAGTCTTTGGGAATTGTCTTAGATCTTTACATTGCTGAGAGGAGCTAAGTCTATCACAGTTGGTCATCACACGATGTTACTTTGTGCAATAGTTTTGAAGTAATGTCTATTGAAAACTCATGGACAACTTAAATCCAGGAAAGAAAATAGTTGTGAGGGCTCATAACAAGAGATTGTCAACTGAACCAATTGATGCTTTCATCTCTTTTGAAAACAAGACAGGAGGATTGATAGAGCTAGTTTTTCATCAGAGGCAGTTGGTGGTGTGCTCACTTGGGATTTAGTGACCAGGGGAAAGAATTCCAAACTGGTGTACCATTTGCTACTGAAAGGAGAGGAAGCATGCCCTGAAACTTGATTGTCATGAGGGCAGGAGCAGAGGTCAAAGAAAAGGTATGCCCTGGTACAATATTGTCAATGCTTTCTATATTTTCTACCTTGTACAAATCTACCCTAGTTATGACCTTGGAAGTAGATAAAGGAGGGCATGTCTGCTTATGTCTTTGAGAAGCAAAAGTTTGTTTTCCATCGTCCTAATGAATTTTTTTGGGAAAAAAGTGAATTGAACCAAATGCAAAATATACCTTTCCTTATTCCCAAATGCAATTAAATTATTTTGTTTGGATTCAATTTTAAAAACAAAAGCCTCAGTATTTCCCAAAATTTGCAATCATTCATCAAATATCTAATGTAAGGGAAGAGATTTAGAAGGAAATCAAACACAACCAAATCCAACCTCCCTCTTTTTACAGATGAGGAAAGTGAGGCCCAGAAAAGTTAAATAACTTGTCCATTGTGGCATAACTAATAAATGACAGAGTCAGGATTCAAATTCTGGTCTGCTTACTTTAAATCCAGCCTCCTTTCCACTATACTATTAATAGAAGCATAAGACAAAATCTATACCCTCATTAAGGAGGCGGTGCAGCACAGTGAAAAGAGTGCTAGCTGTGAAATCAGAGATCTTGGATTCAAATTCTTTCTTTAACTCTTACTACCTGTATAAACTTGGGCAAGTCACTTAACTCCCATGAGCCTCAGTTTCTTAATTTGTAAAATGAGGGAATGGACTAGATTACCTCTGAGGCCCCACTCAGCTCTAGATCTGTGTCCCTTTAAAATGCTTATACTTTATTTTGGGAATAAAAGATATATATACATACTATCGGATTTCAAAGAAGAAATCGCTTTAGTTTCCAAGAGAAAGCAGGATTTAAAGTAAGCCTTGAAGGGAAAGTAGAATTTATATAAACGAGGGATTGTTTTTGTTGTTGTTGTTCAGTCATTTTTTTCAGTTGTGTCCGACTCTTCCTGACCCCATTTGGGGTTTTCTTGGCAAATACTAGAATGGTTTGCCATTTCCTTCTCCAGCTTATTTTACAGATGAGGAAACTGAAACAAACAGGGTTAAGTGATTTGCTCAGGATAACACAGGCTAACAAAGTGTCTGAGGCAAGATTTGAACTGAGGTACTACTGATTCTAAGGCTGGTGTTTTATCCACTGCATCACCTAGCTGCCCTTCAGCAAGTGATAGATGGGAGAAAATATGTATACTGTCACCAAGACTACAGATATTGTTCCTGTATCTTTAAGAGCCAAATGGAATGTTGAAGAAAAGGCAATTTGAGCTGACATTTGGAAGTTACAGGTGAAAAATGCTTTATTATGGGGTGTTTTTCTATATGAAGTCAAGACAAGAATACGTATTTTTAACTTCTGAGCTGTGAAGATTTATAGAGGGTTTGTGGAGAAGACAGAAGGTCAGGGGGGAAATTGTGCAAGAACTATCTTAACTAATACATTATAGAAATCTGTTATGTTATAAGGGAAAAAACATAAAGAGAAGTCTATGAAAAGTATGTCTGATGAAGAGACTGTTTTTCTGTCATGACTGGAGAAAAGCTGGAGAAGAGAGAAAGGAGATGGAGAGTTCTTTTCTGATGAAGCTTTCAACAATTTTATCTTATAAAGCAGATTTTTGAAGAGACTTAACTTTGCATCTTGAGAGAAACTAAATGGTGTGGGACTAAGTTTTCACAAGTGAAGAGAAATCACTTGCCTTTATGGTGAGAGTTTATGGTAACCTTGGCTGTGACATTTCTCATCACCAAATATTATGAATAATCATTTGTGAGTCAGTTATCACTGAATTAATTTGTTAATAAATTTCATGTTTAGTCATTTAAATATTTAAACATGAAATTAAAGGGTTTGTTATGCAGAGAAGTATAAGTAATTACCACTGGGGAAGGTTTCTCCTTTTTGTTAAACAAATAATTTAAACAAATTTATTAAACAAATAATAAGGAACTTGGATGGAGGCTTGAGCTGATTAAGTGATGAGAAGAAGCTTGCTATTTTACTAATTAGAAAGAAAATATCCAAATATACTAGATTTCTCTAGAGCATAGGATAATACAATTAAATATGGGAACAAGTCAAATAGCAGGCTAAGTACGTACAAGTGAGTGGTCAACCATACTATAATCTTGGACACATATGAGTAAAAGTGCAAAGGCAGGAAAATGTAAGGCAAATTTGGGGAGCAGGAAGTAGACAATCCTGGCTGGAGTGCAGAATTTTACATAGGGGACTAGTGAAAGAGAAAGCTGAAAATATAGGTTGGGAGCAAAGGACCTTGAATGCTGAACTAATAAAGAGAAAGACATGACATGATGGTGGTGGTACTGTTTAAATTAGCAGATCCTTTAGTCACAACAAAACTCAAAGGTTTTTGAGGGGGGAGGTATTTTAGGAAGCCTAATATGATACTAATTTCCAGTATATATCTGAATATAGAGAGTGAAGGGAGTATGTCTCACATAAAACAATCAGGTTGACCAAGGCTGATAGCAGTGAGAAACGAAAGGGTGAATCTGAGAGAGATTCTAAAAGCATCGATGGGACTTGGCTACAAATTAGGAGTAAGAAAAGGAGTCAAAGATTCAATTCAACAAATATTTATTAGGCAGTGGGGACCCTAAAGAAGCGTTTGTTGAATTGAAAGATGACTCCTTCGTCCTTAGGGAATTTTTTTTTCCTGTATCACAACCCAAAAGACACAGGCACATTAGTCCCAAAGTACTCATTCCCAGCTACCCATGAATCTTCTCCAATTGCAATCTCAAAGAAAAATAAGTGAAATTATGTGATCAGGAGCCAAAAGTGAGATGTAGTATGAGAAAGATAGTGTTATAAAAATATATCTTTTACATGAAAGCTCTTTGAAGAAGCAAAGTATGGTCTCTTGGGGTATGGCCATTTCACACAGGGGGCATTCAGGATAATTATTCCACTTACAGTATGTGCAAAGGGGTGTGTGTGTGTGTGTGTGTGTGTGTGTGTGTGTGTGTGTGTGTGCATGCAAAGTCAAGTCAACAAGCAGGCACTGTGCTTTGCAATAAGAATACAAAGAAGGGGAGAAACTAAAGCTTCTGCTTTCAAGGTCACATTCTAATTGGGAGTGGGGGACAACATGCAAATAACTATGAACAAATAAGATCAATTGGACATGATCTCAGGAAAGACACTAGCATTAAGGAGGAATGGGGGAAAGTCTTCTTGCAAGTGATATTTAAGCTTGAAGGAAGCCAGAGAGGCCTGCAGGGAAAAATGAGGGAGAGAATTGGAGGCATGGGGGACAGCCAGTGAAAATGCAGTCAGGAGATAGAGTGTCATATGCAAGGAATAGCAAGGGGGCCAGTCAGATAATGTGGAGGGAGTAATATGTAAGAATACCAGAAAGGTAGAAAGTAACCAGGTAATAATGGGCTTTAAAAGCCAAACAGAAGTTTTTATATTTTATTCTGGACTTAATGGGGTGCAGATTTTCTCCCTTTCAGAGAAGTAACCTCATTATATCTTACTTTATGGTGTTATTTTTCTTTTCCTCTTGTTTGGGGTTAGTTATGTTCACTGTGTTTTCTCTTCATGTGTTTTCAGTAAAGGATTACCTTCAAGTTCCACTTTCACATTAGAAGACAGTGCCATCTACTTGACATCTGAGCAGAGCACACTGGAAACACAGGACGATAATGCCTCTGTGTTGGATGTCTATCTAGTAAGTTGTGTTTGCCTTTTGTCTTTCTTTCTTTCTTTTTTTTTTAAACTCCAGCCTTATCACTTAGTGGGTCCAGATCCCAGTTTACACATGAGCACTTTTCATAAAATTAGACACCCTGGATTTGTTTGTTGTAGTTTTAAATGAACATAATGATATACCAAGGCTGGCCTTAAACAAGTGAAACCATTTTGAGTCCAACTTTAGTCTTCAAACAAGGTCAGTCTCCCCACGGTTTGTTCACTCAGCATAAAATGGACAGTCAGAAAATACAGGTGAGACATTAATTTGCTGAAGGACATTAGCAGGATCATCTGATTCTAATTATAGTGGACTTCTGTGATAAACCCATTTTTCGTAAGAGTGAGTAAGGTCCTTCCTTGGAATCCATTCTACCCATATGTCAGGTAATTTGGCTCTCTGTAGCCTCAGGGTACTATTCATTAAGAAAGCTGTGAATGTTGCCTATAAAACTATTCTAATTGTTTTCTGCATAGAGAGAGAGAGGGAGAGACAGAGACAGAGAAAGAAGAGAGGAGGGAGAAAGAAAAAAAGGAAGAAAAGAAAGAGAAAGAAAGAAAAGAAGGAAGAGATCAACATAGATACAATGGATCCTCATTATTTGCGCATTACAAACTTGTGAATTTACCTACTCTCTAAAATACTCCTAACACTTTTGCAGTCTGCATAGAAATGTACAGAGCAGTGAAAAAATGAGTCCCCCTAATGTATATGTTCCAACTGAGGTCAAACAAGGCAATCCCCTGCCTTCTTGTTTCAGCTTTTGTACTGAAAACAAGTGCCCTTAGTGCCATGTTTTTTGAATTTTTGTGTTTTTTGTTGGTGATTTTGCTTTTTAAAATGGTCCCATAGCTTAGTGCTGTCGTGCTGTCTAGTGTTCCTAAGCACAAAAAGATTGTAATGTGCCTTACAGAGAAAAATAAGTGTGTTAGGTAAGCTTCATTCAGGCATGAGTCATAACTACTGGTGGCCATGAGTTCGATGTTATGGAATTAGCAATGCAATGCATCCAGAAAAAGGAAGAGGAAATTTCCCCAATCTATGCATGGAGCCATTCTAAAAAGTGCTAAATTAAATGTTGTGATCAAAGGCTCCCAGCAACCTATCCCTGTACTTCTCCTAGGAAAAAAATGGTTCAGTGGTCATTAATTCAGTGTTTACAGCGACTTTATGGAACATAACTACTGCAAATGATCAAAATGAACAATACATATCTCTCCTTCACATGGATCCCCTTCTTTCGGTATGCTCACACTTAGTCCCATGAAGCAAATTAAGTGCTGGTTGATTATTTTCCATGTTTTCAAGTAACTGTGACTGACTGGAGCATTGCTCATTCCTAAGCAAACATTCGCAGGGTATCATAGCTACGTATGTGTTTCAGCAACAAACTGAAAATGACCCATTGAAAAGACTAACAGGGACAGCTAGGTGGCGCGGTGGATAGAGCACAGGCCCTGGAGTCAAGAGGACCTGAGTTCTAATCGAGCCTCAGACACATAACAGTCATTAGCTGGCCAAGTCACTTAACCCCAATTGCCTGACCAAAAAAAAAAAAAGAAAGAAAAAAAGAAAGAAAAAGAAAAAAAAACCTAACAAAGCAGCAGAACCAAAGTTCTATTTATGCATAGAGACCTTCAGAATATGCAAATTACCATTCTGACCCAAGCAGATTTCAGGACCAGAGTTGGTTTTAAATGACCATTCAGATTAAAAGATTATGATAATATCTGACAATCATATTAAAGTTTGCAGATTGCTTAATTTACATTATTTCATTTGATCTCTCACAACAACCCTGTGAGGTAACTGCTGAAACTATTATTAGCTCCATTTTACAGATGAGGAAACTGAGGCCGAGATGTTAAGGGACTTTCCCAGGTCACATTGCAAGTAAATGTCTGAGGTAGGAATCAAACCTCCTAACTCTAGGCTAGCATTCGACCATTCCATGTTCCTCTACAAACTAAAATGTCCACCAAGCAGCATAGGAAGCCTCTTAGAACTGTTGAATGTTATAACATGGTTTCTGGGCTTTTTTTTTCTTTTTCAATTGGGGTTCAGTGACAGCTACGGGTCAGACAGCTAGTAAGTATCTGAGGCCAAATTTGAACTCAAACCTCCTGACTCGAGGGACAGCACTCCATCCACTTCACCACCTCGCTGCCACTCACCAACCCTCCACCTTTTTTTCTGGCCATTCGTAAAGGGAAAACAAGGCTATCCCTTAAAGACAGCTCAGTCAACATTCACCCTAGACCCTTTGCTAGATGTTCTTGCCATATGGGTATTCTTTTGCAAAAGACTCTACAATTCTCTAAACTGTAATGACTAAAAATAGTACACTGGAAAGATCAATGGCTTTGGAGTCAGAAAACCTGGGTTTAAATCCTACCTCTTTGATTTACAACCTCAAGTTCTCAGCTTCTCAAAGTCTCATTTTCCTTATCTGTCTGTTGAGGGGGTTACACTAGATAGATCCTAAGGTCCTTTCTAGCTCTAATCTATGATCCTATGAAAATTATTTTTTGAAGTGGGGGTGAATATCCTAATTTGGGGGGGGGGTAGGCAGTGGAGTTAAGTGACTTGCCCAGAGTCACACAGCTAGTAAGTGTTATTTGTCTGAGGCCAGATTTAAACTCAGGACCTCCTAAATCCAGGGCCAATGCTCTATCCACTGTGCCACCTAGCTGCTCCTGAATATCCTAATTTTACCAGTTTCTTGTCTGGCTAGAAAATTATTTATTGCACAATGGCAATGATCATTTTCAAATATTTTTCTTAAATTTGCATTTTTATGTAAATAACTACAAGTAGTTTAACATAATAAGACCTTCTAGCTAAAGGTAACTATGATCTAACCCCAGAAGTCTTTAATAGCATGCTAGACTTGGAGTCTGGGAAATTGGTTTTCAAATCCAGCAACAGACATTGCACTAAATCTGTGACTATTAGCAAGTTGCCTGACCCTCAATTTACTCATCTGTCCAATGGGAATAATAACACCTGTAGTACCCACTCAGAGAGTTAATGTGTGACTTAAATAAGATCATTTATGTAAAATACTTTGAAACCTTAAAACAGTATGCAAACATCTGGCTTTATTATTATACACTGACAAATGTAAATTCCATTGAGAGGAGCAGCTAGGAAGAAAAATAACAGTAGAAACTAGGAAGAAATCAGTAGAAGCTAGGAAGAAAAATGACAGTAGAAACAACCAAAAATTCATAGGAGATTTAAAAACCAAGACTGGTGAGCACAATAAAAATTCATGGCCTCATGATAGATAGGCTGAAGTAGAGATCCTGAGTCAAAGAGGCAAATCTGATCTTATGAGTAAGATGCAATAAAATGGGATTCATGAGTAGGCTAAGGCATTAGAAGCAAAGATATACCTTATTCAAACCAATCATTTATTGAGTACCTACTATGTGAAAGGCACTATGCTAAGGGCTAAGTATACAAAGAGGGCAAAAGATGATCCCTATTCTCAAGGAGCTCATAGTCTAATTGAGGAGACAACATGCAAACAACTGCACACACACAAAAAATATATATCCATAATAAATCAGAGATAGTCATTAGAGGGGAGAAATTAGCATTAAGAGGGATCGAGAAAAGCTTCCTGCAGAAGGTGGGATTTTACCTGAGGCTCAAACAAAATTACAGAAAGGGACAGAGATATGGGCTGGGTAATAGGTGGCTTTAAAAGTGCTCAGATGACTGGCCCCAAGTTGAGTTATCATTGTCCTGATGTCACCTGAAAGAAAAATCTTTAGTGGATTACCTCCGGAATCTGTTGTAAGCCCTCTTCTGTTGAACATTTTTGCATTCTTAGTATATTTGCAAATGGCACAAAGCAAGGAGGGATTATGTTGGATAACATAGTCTAGAGAGGAAAAAGAAAGATCTTGATTAAAATAATAGTCCAAATACAGTAAGATGAAATTTAATGTGGATATATATAAAGTCCTACACTAGGGTTCAAAAAAATCAACTTGATAACTGCAAGATGGGAGAAGCATGGCTAGGTAATAGTTCTTATGGGGGAAAAAAATAGGCAGGGGAAGGGTTCCATTAGATCGTGAGCTCCATGTGACTCATCAATGTCCCATAGCAGCCAAAAAAAGTAAAAATTAAAATTAAAAAAAAAACAACCTTAGGCTTCATTAAAAGACGCAGAATATAGGAGACAATGGTTCAGCATCCCTGCCTTATAAGGAGCTTAAAATCTAGTCAGGGAAGAGAATATGTACATTGTAGGTATATACAGGCAGGTAGGTGGCACAGTGGATAGAGTGTCGGGCCCAAAGTCATGAAGACTCATCTTACTGAGTTCAAATATGGTCTCAGCTACTTACTAGCAGTGTGATCCTGGGCAAAGACACTTAACCCTGTTTGCCTCAGTTTCCTCATCTGTAAAATAAGCTGGAAAATGAAATAGCAAACCCCTCCAGTATCTTTGCCAAGAAAACTCCAAAATGGGGTTACAAAGAGTCAGGCACAAGTGAAAGGACTGAACAACAACAACAACGAATTTTGAAAGGAAGGCATGAGCAACTAAAAGGATCAAGAAAAGGCTTCATATAAAAGAGGATGCCTGATCTGAGTCTTAAAAGAAACTAGGAAAAAAAATAAAACAAAAAAATAAAACAAAAACAAAAAGAAACTAGGGATTTCACACGGTTGAAGTAAGGAAGAAGTATGTTCAGGCAAAGAGAAAGCTAGAGCAAAGATATGGCAACAAAAGATGGGGAGTACTAAGTATAAAGAATGGTAGGAAGACTAGTTTGGGGGCTTCCAGATTGTGAAAGGCTATAAAGGAAGCTAGATGGCGCAGCCCCTGGAGTCAGAAAGACCCACCTTCCTGAGTTCAAATCTGGCCTCAGACACTTACTAGCTATGTGACCCTGAGCAAGTCGTTCAACCCTGTTTGCCTCCATTTCCTCATCTGTAAAATGAGCTGGAGAAGGAAATGGCAAACCACTCCAGTATCTTTGACAAAAAAATCCCAAATGGAGTCATGGAGAGTGAGACACAACTGAAAAACAGCTGAAGCACAATATAAATGCCAAACAGAGGAATTTACATTTGATCCTGGAGGCAATGGGGAACCACTAGAGTTTGAATTGGGGCAGAGGAAGACCGCATGTGACAATGGTCAGACCTACGCTTGGGCATCAGCATGAAAGATAGATGGGGATGGAAGAGACTGGAGGCTGGAAGATCAAATTAGGAGTCTGCTGTGATAGCCCAAGTAAGAGTTGATGAGACTCTGAACTGGTGGTGGTTATGTAAGTAATGAGAAGGGGACAGTGACAAGAGATGTTATAGAGGAAGAAAAGACAAGATTTGGAAATGAATGTGAATCCTTCATGCTTCTCCAGCCTGTCACAAGACAGCAGCCATTCTACATCACACTTTGAAAAATTCCTGCTGAACTGCACAGAACAGAGAACACTAAAGCATAAACTTTTACCATTGGGCCTATGAAGTGACCATATCGCTCTCCAGCTAGGTTAGGATAACTAATGGAAATGGGTAGGAGATGAGATCTTGAAAATCCAGAACATACGAAGTATAGCAGACACTTACACAGGGGCTGAAAATTATTCTTCTACTTCATTCTCTCTTGTTATATACTTTACCTTTATGCCTCAAGCAAATGCCCATACTATTAGATTGATGATTCTTACATTGTTTGATAACAGAGTATGATTTACAGAATTCATTACCCAAAACAGCTCTCACTAAACCTAAGAAGGGTGACGTAGGGCTCCAAAACCATAATTCTCAAAGGTTTCAAGAGCTCCATTGCTAACAATGGTAAAGTGTAAGATAAATTTTTGCTCCTTTCTTTTTGCCCCCAGTGAGACAGCTCAGTGACTCCTTGGAAAGTCCACTTAACCTGAATCGATATAGAAACTTCAGTGGAGGACCAGAAAATCTAATTGATTAGATATATAGATATGTGTGTGCGTGTGTGTGTGTGTGTGTGTGTGTGTGTAGCTACTGGATCTACCTCCGTGAACTTCACCTACCCACCTATGACTGACTTACTGTCAATGAGCAAAGTGGGGATTAAGAGAGGAAAGAAAAGTAATCTGCCTATGACTAATAGGTATTTTCACCAGAACTGTTTGAGAGTAGAGCAGACTCTCTTAGAAGTCACCCATGCTTTCCAGTGCCAGCTAAATGTTCACCAGAGGTTGGGAGATAACAGAAGAGGAAATAAGAAGAGGAGGATATAAGTCAGGTATTAGGAGATGTGTGGAGTGAAGCAGGCACCTGTCTTACTGTGTGATCAGACCCAGCCCTACCCATAAAGAGGCACTCAATAGGTATTTATTAAATTTAATTACTTCCAGCTTCAACTAGAAGTCAGCAATTCAAAATGTTGGTGGGCACCTCTTCTAGACAACTCAGAAATGGCAATTCTTATTACAAGACATGGTCCACTGTTCATTATTGATTCTCTACAAGTGCTCTAAGTTAATTTGGGGTTGATGAGAAAGCAAGAGAGAAATAAGTATCAAGGAATTGAAAAGAGGCTCATTTCCATGCAATTCTTAAGTTCTCCTTGCGAGACCTAAAGTGTCGTATTTTTTGTTGTCGTTGGGTCGTGTGAGTTGTGTCTGTCTCCACATGACCCTGTTCAGGGTTTTCTTGGCAGAGATATTGGCGTGGTTTACTATTTCCTTCTCCAGTTCATGTTACAGATGAGGAAACTGAGGCAAACAGGTTAAATGACTTGCCCAGGATCATACAGCTAGTAAAGTGTCTGAGGCTAGATTTGAACTCAGCTCTTCCTGACTCCAAGCCTGGAGCTCTAGCCACTGCATTACCTTGCTGCCCCCGAAAACTGTCACAGTGCCCTATTTTTTTTTCACATACCTATCTAGTCCTAACCCCTAACCTCATCTCCTATGCCTTTTCTTCTCCCTTTACTCCATGCCAATGAAATATGCAATGATAGGGTTAAATTCTGATATTCTTTCTATTCTTTAGTCCCTGTATTTTCATTGCCTACCCTAATGGGAGAAACCAGCTGGCTGCTTATTTCTACTGCTGCTAATGTTTCCCATGCTCTGGGAGAATTAACTCTGTTCACAGCCCTTGCAGTCACATATGGATGGTAAACAACATTCCCTCTGAGCTTTGTTTTGGGTTTTTTGGGTTTTTTTTTCATGTAACCGACCTATGCAGATCCTTAAGGAGAAGAATCAGTCACTCTCCAGAGTCAAAACAAGAAGAAAGGAACAAGACAGGAAAAAATATACAACATACTTTTCAGCTTCATAGCAGAAACTCATCATGTTATTTTCCTTGCTTCCACTGACAGCAAAAATCTAAAAAGAAAAGGAATCAAATAACCCCAAGAGCTTGGGGTTAATGGCATCATTTATAAATTTCTTGTAGTTGTATAGCAAATCTAGGTTTTCCTTAGCTATAATGCAAAAATGATGCTCAATTGTCATCATTTTTCAGTTGTGTCTAACTCTCCGTGACCCCATTTAGGGTTTTCTTGGCAAAGAAACTAGAGTAGTTTGCCATTTCCTTCTCCAGCTCATTTTACAGATGAGAAACTGAGGCAAACAATTGACTTGCCCAGGATCGCACAACTAGTAAGTGTCTGAGGCAGATTTTAATTCAGGAAGATGATTCTTTCTGATTCCAAGCCCAGAGCTCTATACAGTGTGCCACCTAGCTGCCCTGGTGCTAAATAGATTATGTGATTATAATGTGGTATTTTGTTAGTGTCAAATGGCTTGAAATCCATTTGTCTATTTCTTTTGGTACCAAAGTAATCTGATAAATTAGTTTGTCTTTTCTCATGCTTTCAACTTCATTTGTAATACTGTAGTTTACTAAGACTTGGCAACTTCATTATCTCTCATATCACTATACTTATCTGGTTTATAAAGTGTATTTCAGACATATAGATCACCACCTAACCCCACCCCCTCCAAAAAAATAATAAAAGGACCTAGTTTCTAATCACTATTTTTATTTCAGACACTTCCCATTTAGAATGAAAGAACATTTGCAGAAAAAAAGAAATCTAAAGATTTTGCTCCTGATTAATGAACACTAACAGCTGTCATTTTCATTCCTGGAAGAATAGTATATGGTATAGACACTAATGTAATATCTAGTTCATTTTAATTACTAATTTGGAGGGGATTGTTTATGAGAGTTGGAAATAGGAAATAGATTGTTTTATTATTGTGAGGACTATATGTTTCATATTTCATTTCTATCATTGAATGTTTTAGAGGCAGCCAGGTGATTCAGTGGATCAGGGCCTGAGATCAGGAAGACTTGAGTTCAAATGTGATCTCAGTCACTTATTGGCTATGTGGCCTCAGGCAAGTCATTTAACCTCTGTTTGCCTTAGTTTTCTTATCAGTAAAATGAGGATAATAATAGCTCCTACTTTTCAGGGTTATTATGAGAATCAAAAAAGGTATTTGTGAAGTGCTTAGCACAGTGCTTGTCACATGGTAAGTGCTATATAAATAGTAGCTTCTTTTTCCTCTGTATTTTTTATGTTCTGGGTTTTTTTTTTCACTTGGGCAGCTAGGTGATACAGTGGATAGACTTCCAGGCCTGATGTCAGGAAGACTCATCTTCCAGAGTTCAAATCCAGCCTCAGATACTTACAAGCTGTGTGACCCTGAATGCGTCACTTAACCCTGTTTGCCTCAGTTCCTTACCTGTAAAATGAGCTGGAGAAGGAAGTGGTAAAACACTATCACAGTATCTTTGCCTAGAAAACTGCATATCGGGTCACAAAGCATTGGATATGATTGAATCGACTGAATAACAACAGATTTTTTCACTCAGTCTGTGTAACTATACCAGGCACGTGAAGCATGTCTGA